GTGCTGACCGCTGGTTGTTTTCTGTGGTTTTGATTGCCTTTTGCATATGGTTTTCTTTTCATGGTTGGTGGAATTTGGGTCACTAAATTAGGGTTGTCACCACTGATGTGATTAGAGTTTCTTGGTGATGAACTTCGATTTTGCTGACAATTTTCGTTGATTTTTCGGTGGTAGGGCCTGTGGAGTTGGCTGTGGGGTGAAATCTAGTAGTGCCCTAGATGTGCTTGGCCGGTGAGGGCCCCACCTAATTTCTGTAAGGGACGCGGGGCCCGGTTCCCGGCTTTTATTAACCCTGTATTCTTTCTCAAAAAAAAAAGAAAAGAAGAAGAAGAAGAAGAAGAAGAAGAAGAAGAAGAGTAGAGCCTAGTTACAAGACTTTTTTTTTTTTTTTTTTCAGTTACTGTAAGACATATATTGGTGATCTTGCCTAATCTGTCAAACTACCCTTCTCCTGGGGCCAGGTCCCACTAGCAACACGGATTGGATTGAATGCCTCAATCTAGACGTGTTCCTTGAAAAGTGCAGAAATTCGAGATTGAACAGCTTTTCTGCATCTCTTCCTAAAACACACCCAGATTCAGGATCTTAATCCAATCCCCATTGCTTGTGGCTTGTGGGACCATGCTCCTGTGCAGCATGAAGTTCAACAATATAGTTTCTTTCTCAGACTCAGCACTGTTTTCTTTTTTCTTTTTTCTTTTTAGAGAAAACTACGCCGCAGTCAGGGTTACAGTTTGTAATTGCATTTGAAACTGCGTTTTAGCAGTTTAGTCAGGGCCCAAGTTTCAATTGCATTTGAAACTGCATTTTAGCAGTTTGAAACTCGGGCTGGCTTTTTCTAGCAGTTCAGTCAGGCACATGGCTGTTTCTTTCTTTGTTCTTTTTTTTTTTTTTTGTTTTTCTGGTCACGTGCCGCAACCCCCCGCGCCGCTCCATGGCTGGTTAAAAAAAAAAAAAAAAAAACAGCCCCATGGTTGGGCCACGGCCAAGATGTCTCGGCCACACCCCAGACTGGCCACGGCCGAGATGTCTCGGCCGCAACCCAGATTGGCCAGGGCCGAGATGTCTCGGCCACAACCAAGATTCGCAGGCACTACCCTTCACAGGCAAACGCGAAGTCTCAAGAGTAGCCTACTCCGAAGAAGTGGGGGGCTCGGGGCAGGGATGGAGGCCAAAAAAAGAAAAAAGAAAAAGAAGAAATAAAAAAGTAAAGAAACGAGGAACTGAGAATCCACCTACGTCCGGAAGGCCCTCACCTCACCAGTGCTTTGAAGAATGTATCTGGCCAGGAAGTGAGGAACATGAAACAGGTCGTTTTCCTTTTTTGTTTCTTGTTGTCAGGCCCTTGTAGCGCCCTGCCAGCCAGGCAGGGCGGATTCCAGGCGAGGCAGCTAACTGCCTTCCTTCATTTAGCATCCTGTATCCGACCGCAATCACAGCATAAGGGATGTTTTTTTTTTATTTTTTTTTATCTGCTGTTCGTGGATAGACGAGGGCCCTGACTGAACTGCTACCTGAAGGCATCCCGAGTTTCAACTGCAATTGAAACTCGGGCCCTGACTTAAAAAACTGCTAAAACGCAGTTTCAAATGCAATTACAAACTGTTTTGACTGAACTGCGCCGAAGTTACCCCTTTTTTTATTTTATAGAAAGCACATCCCTTTTTGCTGGGTTTCTGCTAATGGAGGTGATAGGAGCATCCTCTGTTTGTTAGCAGCCCCATGACTGGATGACTCCTTCTATTGGTGGGGAGCAGCACCTGCTGGAAAGGGGTTCAAGCGTCCCTTTTTACACATCATGATTTACAGACATTTTATCTCGGACTTGCAAATATGTCACTGACAGCTGCTGTGATGCATGGAGTGGACCCGGTGGTACCTTCTACTTTCCTGACAGTGTCTGTGACCCCCCTTTTCACAAGAGCGACCCTTTCCTTTCCTGTCAGCTGTGGCACGGCTGGCACAGTGTGACTCTCCCGGCCCCTGTACCGGGAGGCACGTTGCCGCCGCGTTTCGCTGTCTGAAGCGAGCATTGTTTGAGTCCGTCTGAGTCTGCGGCTTTTTAGTGGTTGGTTACAGGCCTGCTGATGTTGGATGACCCGGCTGGCTGCTGGCTGAGCGGGGTAGAGGGCTGTGAGGGTGTCCCCAGTCGGCAGTACATGTCAATATTAGCTGGTACTACTAAGGCACCCGAGTGATCATTCAGGAGGTCATGGGTTCGATTGCCACTGACCTCATGTACCTCCCTAGGCATGCTTGGTGCCCTGAGGCTCCAATGCATCTCGACGTAGCCTGTTGCCCCCCCCGATCGGCATTTAGGAGAAACTGCTGATGTTCGTAGGGGGAGGGAACCAGATGGGAGGTGCAGGGGTTGGTCCAGTTGGCTTGGTTCCTGAGGCTTTTACAGCTGATCCCCTGCCCGATATCGCCCACCTGCAGGTCAGGTGCAGCCCCAGGCGGCATGTCCTCTCCTTGGAGTCGTGAACACGCAATGCCATGTGGCTGCAGCTACGGGTTCTCTGAAGCAGGAGCATGAGAAGGGAGAAGGAGACAGATGCGGCAACGTGCTGTAGCCAGGGAGAGACACACGAAGCAATGAGAACCACCATGCCTTAATCAGAAAGCCCAAACATTCTCCCACTTCACAATGATCCTCAGTCTCATGCATCACCATGTCACTAGCCCAGCGCAAAAGAAACTTGGCGAAATCCTGGACCGGTTTCGTTGGCTCGCCTCCCAACTCATCAGGAGGTAGAGAGATCTCAGTGGGGGTTCGTCTAGGCAGGAACTTCAAGGCAATCCGGTGGCGAGCTGGGAGGGGCTGCCAGTGTGTGTCATGGAGACTCAGTCTTCTTTGTTTGATTGCTGTTCCGACGGCCAGTGGCTGCTTCTGCATTTCCCATCCCGTCTTCTACTATCTATTAGTTTGTCCGGTGGCATGGATGGCTACCCACAAGTGTGAACCCTGTGAGTAGTGGGGTTGCACTTCTTTTTAGGTTTGCATCTCTTATTTTCGGCTCTTGCATGGTTGTGGTTTTCGGTTCTGCTTAACAGCCATTTCGTCAAAACGGACATATTATATTTTTTGAACGAAATCAAAACTGACTTTTTTTGCCAAAATCCGGTCGGAATTTTTTGCTCCTGGGGGTCCCCCTACATGTATCTGGTCTATGGTTGAGACCAGATACAAAAAAAAAAAAAAAAAGCGGAGGTTGAATTTAGGGGGCAGGGGGTGGGCAGCATGGGGAGTTGGGGGCGGAGGCGGGGTGGTGGTGAGATCGCTGGCCAAGGAAAGTCTTGCCCTCCACCTTGCGGTGGAGTTTGCTGTAGCCGCCGTCCCTCCTGCTCCTCATCCGTAGCTTCTCGTCTGCTCTGTCCGTCCTTCTGCGTCTGGTTCTCCCGCTGTGTTGTCCTTGTCCTCCTGCCGCCGTTGTCTTTTCTCGACTCCGCCTTTTCTCCCACCGTGTCTTCCTCCCACTCCCACTCTCGCCTAGTAGGTCTCCTTTATCTTTTCCTCTCTAGACTTCTCCCTCTTCTTTTCTTCGCCATACAATGACTTCTCTTTCCCTCTTTCCCCCTAGTACTTGTCCTGTCTCTCTCCCTTGCGACTTCTATCCTGACTGTCGTTTCACGGAATTTTCACCAGCTTTCACCAGCTTTCCTTTATCTCCCCCCTCTGACCTTTAAATTAAATTTGGGAAACGTTATAAAACCTCCCCGCGGCAAAACCTTTGCATTCATTTGCCCCCAAAAGGGGGCAAAAAGTGCGCCAGGCCCCAAAATGACCCTTTTGGTGTCATTTTTGCACCCTGTAAAACACTTTCCGGCCAGTTTTGCACAGCTGGTGCAAAAAAGACAGGAGAAGTCATTTTGGGGCCTGCAACACCTTTAAAATTTTCTCCCTTGGGGGGGGAAATGAATACAGAGGTTTCTCCACGGGGAGGTTTTATAACTTTTCCCTTTAAATTTCTCTGTTATGTGTTCGTTCTCTCCTTCTCTCCGTGTTTCTTCCTTCATCTGTGTGCTTCTCTCCCTTTTTTCGCTCCCCATCGCTCTTCCCCAATCTCCTCCGGGACCCGTCCTTCGACCGCCATGTCACAAGCGCATCTACGGGGTGCTCCCATCGCCGGCAGTGGTGTAGGGTTCACTCCTCCGGCAATGGCGACGGGGTCAACCGGAGTGCGGACGGGCCTCGCCGATCAGTCCGGTCAGCACACTCCAGGACAGTAGTGGAGCCACTCCCAACATGAAGAGCAACATAATTATGATAGCTCTCCTTAGCCGCAGAGTGAGTGAGTCTTGGGTAGTGTAATCATAAAAAAAAAAAGAGACAACTCCGCGGGTGACCGCTGCACAGTTTCGAATTCGCAGGAATAACAGTCCATTCCAAGTTCGGGCGAAGACAAGTTCGGGCGGGCCTACCGGTTCAATAATTCGCAGAAACGGGAGGTGTCCTGGGCTAGTGGTACCGTTCCCGTGGCCTGGCGTGGTTTGGCGGCCACGCGAAACCGGTCGGGTCAAACGCCAAGCGATTCGTCGCTACGTTCTCCAAGCCTATTCTTAATGAAGAAGTTGCGCTTGGGATGCAAAAAAAAAAAAAAAAAAAAAAAAAGTCAGTACGTTGTCTCGTCTGTTTATTTTCGTGAATGCTGCACTTGCTGACTTTCACGCATGAGGTAACCAGCGTAGAAGTCGTACTACGTTTGAGGTGGCTTCGACATTCTGAAGATGGCGACTCAGGCGAACGGACAATATGTTGACAATAGGAGCTGCTATAACTGTGGACAACAAGGACATATCTCCAGATTTTGTCCACTTCCGGACAAGCGGTTGAATGGAGGGCAAGTCAGCTCTAGTATGGCTATTGTTCCAGCTCAACCTTTGACGACTGGACCAAGTAATACGATTGGTGTTGGAGCTGCTGCGCCGACCTTTTCTAACAACTACTCGAATGACAAGACTTGGCTGCGCAAGCGAGTAGCCACGCTTGAGGATATTGTAGGACACATCAAGGTCAAGCATGATGCTGACGAGGCTAAAGAAGCTGCTGCTAAGGAAGAGGCTTAACGAAAGAAGAGAGAGACAGAAGAAGAAGAAAGAAGACTACGTGACAAGAAGGAGAGAGAAGAACAGTATACCAGGATGAGCCTTGAGTTGAGTAAAGAATGGGATAAGGTTTGTGAGAAGATCGATAAACGTGATCAAGGGGCGAATGAACTTGCTAAGTTACGAGAAGAAGTGGGAAGGTTGTCTCGGGGAAAGAATGAAGTTTCATCGATAGAGGCGACAGTCAAACCTACCTTGGATGTTGACGTCGTAGATAAGTTGAAACGTGAGCAGGAGGAAGCGAGAGTTGTCGCTGATAGGCGATTCGCAATGATGGAAGAAAAAATCGTTGCGTTGATCAAGGGTAAAGAGGAGGCCGAGGCGAATGTTGAATTGTGGAAGGCGGAGGCTCATCGGCCTGGAAGCAAGCGGGGGAATATTGTTGTCTGTACTCCAGCGACGGAGGCGAGGGTTCGACCAAGAAATGCATCAGTGGTGCGAACGGCTAGTACCAGTGCAGGCATGGCGAGAACTGAGGGAAGGGCTGATCCCGTTATCAAGGGGATCGTGGAACGGCATCAGATGGAAATCAATGTCTTGAAAGAGTTGCGTTTGAAAGATGTTGGCGGACGTATTGAGGCGGAAAAGGAGGTTGAACGTCTGAAAGAGGCGATGGTGCGTTTAGAAATGGAGAAGAGGCAGAAGGGCACCAATCTCAATAGTCGTTTGGACGAGGCGGCCGGGCCATCTACGTATAAACCTCCGTGCCCACCCACCGTCGAGGAAGAAGGGTAATCTTACCCCTGGGATGCAGCTTAATGACCGCGAGGCCTTTGTTCAATAGGAGAGGAAGAACTTACGGAAGAAAAACAAAGAGGACATTCAGAAGATCTGTCGGGATGAAGGAATTCAGTACACCACCTTGGAACCCACCAAAGAAGAGATAATCTGCCAAAGAGTGCAGCGTATGTTTGGAGTGGATGAATTGACCAAAGGAAAATGTAAGAACGATACAATTATTGAAGTGACGGCCGGGGAGACTGAGGACAACGATGTGGAGGCTGCTATTGACACCGCTGCTTCCTAGCTTCTCTCCCGAACGTAACTTGGTTGTGGTCTCTTGTGCAAAAGTTGACTAATGCTAGATCCTTTTCTTCCAAGTTGTTGAGGAGTAGACTGCTTAATCGACTGTTATGTTTGACTATCTGTCTCTTACTTGTCTCTGATTGTATACCATGGGGCAAGTGTTTGATTCCCTTTGTCTCGCGATATCTCTCCAGTGATGCAAGTTTGAAGGGCGATTGGAATGGACCGCTAGTTTATGTGTTGTTTTCGCCTTGGTGTAAACACCTGTATGTTGGGAGTACTACAAGAGACTTGCACACTCGTTGGGCAGAGCATGTCTACTGCGGGACTTGTGGGATTCTGGGAGGGAAGGAGAGGAGAAACGAGAGGTTGTACAGATGGTTGCGACGAAGAGGAGCAAGCGATTACGTTGCTATTCCTATATATCAATGTTCTGAGTCCGATGTTCTGGAAATTGAAAATTTTTTTATACGTCGGATGTGTCCCGTACTTAACAGTAGGGATAAACCTAGACGGAGTAGGAGGCCTCGGTTGGGGAGAAGAGAGAGATTGAGGAGGAATAAGAAGAATGGGAGGCATGAGGAAGAAAGGGGGTGTCAAATTAATAAGTTTGACGATTTGGTTGAGTTCTCAACTTGTTTCGAGTTATCTTCAAGAAGTTTGTTTTTTCTGTTGGACGAATGCAAGCGGAGGAATATTTACCGAGTTCGAATTGATTGTACGGGGGTGATTTGTTGACGGAGAGATGAAAGGTTGTGAGGAGAATGTATGGAGGAAGTTTAGTGTCAAGTGATTTTGGACGCATGGAACTAAGATATGTCAGAGCTTGGTTGAAGGGAGGCATCTCTTTTGAAATTGAACGAATTGTTCCTTTTCTGTGTAAGTCGTTAGTTTTTAAAGAACCCCTCGTCAATTTTCTAAATCAACCAGCCAGTCGTAAGGTCCTGTATTTATGGGATTTTGATACCTTTGTGTTTGCTTACAGTGTTGTCCGTACCTTTTCTGAGAAACGGACTAGATTTCGCCTACGCTGTATTTTGTCTGCTTGTATCTCCAAACGTTTTGGCATTTCGGTGAGAAAGCGGGTGGTTATTCGAATTCGTTATGATGACTCGATCTGTAAATCCAAGGTTCGTTTGCTCTGCGTGCGGATATTGTCGAGTCTTGACATTGGCTTTGCCCGGAAGGCTATGTTAATTCAACGAATGGGAGTTGTTTGGACACGTAATAGGACAGTTGGGAGTTTAATCCACAATTTTCGTCAATATTCACGAGAGTCGTCTTTTGCCTGCACTTGCTTGGATGTCGACGATGATTTTCCCCGCCATGAAGGACATGTGGCATTCCGCATGAACGATTTAGTCTCGGCACCTGATTTGATGAAAAATTCACGTAATATTACGCGGCCGAATAGATCTGACCTAGTCTGCTCCCTACGACGACAGATTCGTAGTGCTTTCTCTGCTAGTTTGTTAACAGATTTTGACCAAGCAATTATGGGACGGGACGTGTTGGAAGAGTATTTGGTTAAAGGAGTCTCGTTTAAGGATGGACATGGGCTTGGTACTTTTTCAGAGGCTGAGGTTAATTCTTTTCGTAAGCGTTTGCAAGGTTTGGTTTGCTCCCCGATTGGTCACAATGGGGGCGATACTTTTGTTTGTTGTCCCAGTATTTATGAGAAGGGCATGCAAAAACTTTTTGTGTCTAATCCAGCTTTTGAACACTGTCAGGACGAGGAACGTTTGCTTCTGCAGAGGTCTCGTGATAACTATGCGACTTTGAATTTGGATAATGTTGGGAGATGGGATGTTCGAGGATCTTTGGGGAAGGCATATTGCATCCCTAAACACAAGGATGTTGGTCGTTGGAGACCAATTTGTCCTTCATACCCCGAATGCTCAATGAAAGGTGGTAAGATCGTGTCGCGAGCGGTGAATTGTATGTTGTGGAGTCTCTCGGGCGGAAGTAATCTGAATCTGCGCTGTGCTGATGATTTGGTTAAGGTAATTAAGGGTGTTAATACAGGGATTCGTGAGGACGAGAGGCTGATTGGAGCATCTTTCGATATGAAGGAGATGTTCTCCAATCTCCCCCATGGGTCGATTTTAGAAGCTTTGGACTGGGTTACTGATCTTTGGGAAAGAAAGGAAGTGAAGGGTGTTGTGGTGAAAAAGTTGGGAAAAGGTGCTAAGTTGGCGAAAGACAAAATTGAGAAGGGTTGGAAGCTAATTGATTTTCAAGAGATTATGAACTTTGTCACCTTCGAGCTACAACATACGTTTATTTCTGCGGCTGGGATTTTGTTGCGTCAGACCATTGGAATACCTATGGGTAAATCTACTAGCCCGGGCCTAGCTTGTTTGTTATCTGCATATAACGAATTCTCTTTTCTTTCGACTCTGGGAATTGATCGTAAACTTTTTTCGGGTTTTAGATTAATTGACGATGTTTCGATTTTTGTACGATGTAATGAGAAGGAGGAGGGCTCGTTGGACAAATGTAAGGCAATTATTGAGGAGTTCGCACGATGCTACGATAGCAATTTGGTTTTGGAACGCACCAGTGTTGGCTGTTCATGGAGCTACCTTGGATGTGATTTGAGGATCGGATCAGGCAACGTTGGGGTTATCTGTTGCCCTGTTTTGAAGAATCAGAAGGAGGCGATTTGAACTGATTTCGTCTTTCAGTGCATTCAGGATTATGGGTCCTTTTCCAGTAGACAGCAGAAGATGGCCGTCATAGGGTCTTTTTTGCATAGGGCAAGGAATTATACCTCAATTGAGGGTATGGAGTTGCAATTTTTGTTGGCTTTGAAGTATGAACTGTGGAGGAGGGGGTATCCGGACGATTTGTTTGATGTTGCCTTAACTAGTTTTTCGCCAATGGTCGCAGTGGCTGCCAAGCCTGACCGGTTGGAGTAAGGGATGAAGATTCGCATTAGGATCTCCTTTTTTGGTACGAAGAATGGGGGACTTTGGAAGACTTTGCTGGTTTTTTTTTTTTTTGACGCAGCTTTTTGGAGGGGTCCGATGTAGGCATACCCTATTAGGGGCTCGGTTTTGTTTTTTAGGGGTACCTTTGTATTAAATTTGTTTTAGGACTTTCTAGAACTTTTTGATGGACCGAGTTTCCTTTTGGCGTTCTCTTCGGCCGAACACAGATAAGAAGTTTGCGAGTGTCGGCTCGTCACTTCCAAGACCCCTGATGAGCGCGGTTTGGCGGCCACGCGGAACTCGTCGGGTCAAACGCCAAGCGATTCGTCGCTACGTTCTCCAAGCCTATTCTTAATGAAGAAGTTGCGTTCGGGATGCAAAAAAAAAAGTCAGTACGTTGTCTCGTCTGTTTATTTTCGTGAATGCTGCACTTGCTGACTGGCGTGGGTTTTCTGGGGTGAGGTACCGGTAGCAGGCCCTCCCGTTTTTGGCCTCTGGCGGGACGCGGTTCCGGTTGGAATACGAGGTGCCCGATTTCTTCCCGCCATAGGTCCATCTGCGGTGCCCGAATTCTTCACGCCCTACGTCCATCTGTGGTCCCCGATTTCTTTCCGCCCTACCCCCCCCGGCCACCACCCCCGGCCACCACCCCCGGCCACCACCTCTCTGTGTCTCCCTTCCCCTTTCCGCCGGCCCCGAAACCCCAGCCATTGGGAAGGGGGAATGTCGCCGGTAATCTCTCTCTCTCTCTCTCTCTCTCTCTCTCTCTCTCTCTCTCTCT